AATATTAAGTTAATTCTTTTGAATACCAGTCAAACATTTTTGATGAGCTTGTTTAAATAAAATTACTTCTTTATGTAAAGTTAATTTGTTTTAATTGAGTGATATTTCAGAATTTTGTTTCTGGATRAAAACTATTTTAAAGTGTGCCTATTAAAATTTAATGTAAGGTATGGGATAGGCATTATCTATTATAYCCCTACATAAGCGTAAACATACCTATATAAGAGTATAACAGAAAAATCTGACAGAAAAAAATGATGCTAGTTGAATTAATCAATTAATGATCAAAATTGTGAAAATTATATGGATATTAAATAATATTTAAGAAATATGTATACTCAAAAWATAATATTTTGAAAAAAGTTTTTACAGTATAAATTAATTTAAAAATCTATAAAGTAAATTACTTGACTTTGATAAATGTTTTACCATCAAAATCGTTCTTATATTCGGATTTACAAATTGGCTATTCAGAAATTATCCAAAAAACTTAAATCAAATTATAAATTTTTTTTTCAGTTTCAATACATAAAAATGAAAAAATATAAATTATTGAGTATAAAATAGCGCACGTGTATAAAATTAAATGAAAGTTTTGTTTTAAAGCATTGATAATAATTTATAACAAAATGTATTGCATTAGTCAATTTTTTTTATTACATTCTATTATATGAATATACCTATTTATGTTTACTGAACCGCATTTGAGTCAATAATTCTATAACTGAACGTCAATCATCATGCACAACAAACGATAGACGTCTTAATCCAACGATAACTCGGAACTATTTTATTATAGTTCTGACTTCGTTTGACAACATGTATCGTGAGTTCTATACTCATAGATGGCAGTCGCCCAGTTTGTCCAGACTAACATGTTGGCAGGCTATTGCAATCGCTAGCGGAGCCGATTAAACGTCRTGCCCACTCGTTAAATGCTGCTCTTCATACAATCGCTTGTTCTTCCTATTCAATCTCTGAAATAATACGTTAACGTCGATCCTTTTGCAAGATTATGCGCATAAATATAATGCAAATAATCATGACTTTCGTGAGCAGAGAACAGCGATTGGTAATCTGTCCTCACTAACCACTTGCATCGTTTCAAAACGCATTATAATATTATATTAATATTGCGAAACTTTTATATGCAAAGTTTTTACTAGCTTCAARCTTCAGTTGATCAAAGAACTTGATTGATTATTATCAGATGTGTTAATTGAATGCTTTAAAAAACTGTTAGATATGCATTAATAATTATGATAAAAATCGTATATTTTAAAATATTCAAATATCCATTATTGCTTTATATTGCTTATCCATAGTACTTGCTATTTGTTAATATTTATGTTTAAAAATAACGATTTAAGTTCGAAAACAGAACTTAATTTTTTTATCGGAATTTAAATATTTATTGTTTTTCGCAAATATAAGTTAATTTATTAATGACATAAACGTTTATAAGTTCATCAGCTAATGACTTTGTTGAGTCCCTTCAGTTTCAAAACCCGATTAATTATTATTAATAATACGTGGGCATAAAGCCCTGTTCAGATCAAAGAAAAATTGTAAAAAAAGACTGATTTCTGATTTCTTTCCCGTCATAAGTAGCGATAACATAAATATTTGTCGACGAAAATGTCAGAAACATATACTTATTGTTTCAGATAAATGCTTTTTGGTCTGGACGCTGGACCGGGCTTGGTATATAAGTAAAGGTAACATAATATTATATATTATTTTATGCTTGGTACGYTATAAAATCATTAATATATTAATCTATACCCATATGGCCATATGATATTCTACATATATAAATAATATAATATATATTATAATGTGTATGCTTTATATACAATATGTACAAAATATACAAAGTGCTTATACATTAAATTCGACGACGATGACGACGATGATCGCCGACGACGGTGATGGAGGSTTATACCAGTATAACTGAGTGTGTATATAATTAGAAAAACACTGCTTGTCCCTTCACCCCTTCCACTCTCACACTATCACCACCGAAACCGTCTTCCTTCTATCCCGTCGTGCACTACTGCAACAATACGCACATATATATAATATTATATATATATATATATATATATATACACTAGTATGTATTGTATGGTGATATATAGTTGCACTCGTGTATAAATTAGTTATTATTAGTAAAGTGCGGTGGCGGAGTATTGGCAGCCGGCGGCGGCACGCCCGTCTTGGAACTCTGGCGCTCACTGCCATTGACGTCGTCGGCATTGGATATTATAGGTACGCGGTCACACGAATTGACGCATCGTTTCGCAATAGCCACACTGGCATATTATTATAATAGTCCGTCACCTCGGTCGTGTGTCGTTCGCCGATTATAATTTAATAATAATAAACAACAACTCACGTTATTTTTTAGGTACGTATTATTATTATATTATTATTGTTTAGGTCATCATCGCGGTCTTCGATTGAAAGCCAATATTATTACGAACTCGTGATTCAATACTTCTTTTAATACACAAAAGTTTGGTCGTTAGCTAAATTACTTAGCCTGCCTACAATTAAATATTGATTATAATATTAACTAATTTATATGTGTCACTAATCAATAATTGGTATTTTAACCGACGATCATGACGGTGACCGGTSGAATTGAGAAATAAAAGTCCAATAGAAAAGTTACGACAACGATTACCCAAGTGGCCAAGTACAATATCGTACATCACATAATATACCTATGTACGTATTATTGTTTATCGACATGATTATTTTTTACTTATTAGACGTACTCGTATAAATACGATATACTAAATACACCGTAATATGAGACTAGGTAGGTATTGTAAATGAGTTAATTTTTTATAACATTAACTTTTAAATTAATTAAATTAAGAAAATAGTTTTATTAAAACAGTTTTTAATAAAAAAAAAATTAAGTCAACTTTTAATTTAATAAGGCCARAAAAAAAACTTGTTCATTTGCCCAGATTTTCTTTACCGATAGGTAGGTACGTGTAACATATTTACACGCATTATATCTAATATATAACTAATTGTTGTAGTTACTTATGAATTCATTTCTTAGTCAATTAGTCAATACTTTAAAAATATTTAATTGACGACCCAATATTTATCGACAATTTATCCACAAATTATRTATGATAGAGAATTAATATTGCTGAACATTACTATTAAATAATAATTAATAATAAGCTAGTTTAAAATAAATGAAAATATTATATTCAAACCATCATWTATTATTACCTATAACTTGTACATGAGTTTTAAAGTTAACAACGATATAAAATCATATTTTATACATTTATCAAAAATCCTAAGTGGAGCTCAAATTGTTTATAAAAAAACTGTATGTAAAAAAAAAAAACATTTTAACTATTACCATTTTTGAAAAATATTGACATGATAGTAAATACAAGATTAAATACGATGATCGAAAAAATAGTAGAACTTTTCTCTAGGTACTGTAGTCTTTTAAATGGTTAATAAAACTAATATAAACCATAGGCCTACTAATAAATCTATAAATCACTCATAGATGAGATAAAGTTAAAATATCTAAGATGTATTAATATCTTTGTGTTATCTATTATTAGATGTAGGTAAATGTTTTTAGAAGTTAAATTTTTCCAAATAAAATCTAGGTAAAGATTTTTTATATAATTTAAGGGGATAAAATATTATGGTTAAATCTTCAGAACAATTAAACATTTTAATTTACAGTAAAATAAAAGTCTAAAAAATCTTATTAATTACAAAACCTTAATAGAGTATATATGATGTAAGTATAACTTCAGTGTATTATCTATATTATTGATTATATGATATTCCATAATATTGATATCATAACACTGGATTCAGTTTTGAAATTGTTTATAGTGCACAAAATGAAATTTTGTCTACTTAATTAATAATATTTTTGGTAAAAAAATGCAGGGATTTCTCTATAACTAAATTATGAAACTACTTGTAAATTTAAAATTTCCTTCAATATAGTAGGAATAGGTAAGATCAATTATTTGATTTATTATTTAGGTAAATTGTTATTTGAGTTGCACTTACTATAATTAGTTGAGTTTTAGCACTTAAAAACTAACAGTTATAAAAAAATAATAATTACTTACTTATAACATCTATTTTATCTTAAAAAACACTAAAACATAATATTATACAAAAATTATACACATATTGTATGAGTAATAAAGCGTTGGTAAGTTTTCAAAGAGTTTTTTTTCTTAATAAATCCCTAACAATRTCTAGTAATAGATAATTATAGTTAAATTGATATTATAACAAGATTTTTTTTTATTTAGTCTTACACGTTTAAAATATCAAAAACAAGCTTATAGAAAACAGTGAGTGATATGGTAATTTTATGAATGATTGACAAGTGATTTTAGAGCCAACAAATCCATTGTGATGAAATATAAAAAATAATAGTTTCGAGTACTATCTAGTATCTACACAGCACATTAATTTATTAAGCCACAGTATTTAGATTTTATTTAAATATTTTTATGATATTCGTAAATATATTTACAAAAATCTAAGGCGATACTCTCAGAAATTATGTTGAAAAAAAATTGATTATTCGTGTTTTATTTTTAAAACTGTTTTCAAGATGAATTTATTTTATTACACATGACAACAGAAGCAGTACAATAAATTGTAAAGGTACAATAAATTATAATATTGAACCACAGATAATTAATTTTGTATTAAAGGCTATAGCAGTGGTTTCCAAACTCATTTTCTGTGGTTACCCTTTTTTGGATCAAATATATCTACRGTGTTCTGCCGTGAATACCATGAAAGACAAAGAAATATTCATTAATAACGAAAATTTGAAAAAAATTCTTTATCTATACTTTAAATTATTTATTATGAGCCGTAAACCACAGTGCACCGTGGTACACAATTTGGAAATCGGTGGATTATAAGTATAAAATTGTATTTTAATATTTTTTTTGTATATATTGTTTATGTAGATGTGAGGAGTGCGGCCAAATTACCAATACGGCTAAGGTCATTGAAGAAACTACCAAAGACCCAACAGGTGGTGCTGTTGCGGAGGCGGCAACATCCTTAACGGTGGGTCAAGTAATCGAAGGTGCTGGTAGTGCTAACGGCGCTATCTCCACCGAGACCACCACAGAAAACGTTACTATGGAAGTACAGATCGACGACGAGATAGATGAAGATGATGGTGAACRGTATTCATCGTATTCACTGTCATCGGTGGAGGACGAAAACGTCAACGGCAGTGACGGTAACCGTCAATCCACTGTAACAAAAGTGACATGTGAAGAAGACGACATTTACAATGACTTAGAAACTCAGACCAAGGACCACAGTTGTAGTAGCGCTGTGATAGATTCTACAACTTCACCACCTCCGGACGTCATAATGCATCACAATCCCGATGTCATCAAGCGAAAAGGTTCGCGACGAAGCCGCCGCAAACGTCGTTCATCCACCACCGCCACGGTGGTTAGTAATCTAGATGTCCACATGACGCCTGTGGTTGGTACGGTAGGCGAAGAGGAACCATTGGTACCATCTTCGTCATTGCCGGCAGAAATTACTACGGCAAATACCGTCGATACCACTATTACCATCGTGCCATTCAATACAAATAATACCAATATTGAACAAAACGACGATACCACTGCCCAAATCGTTGACAGTAATGTTGTAGATACCGGTACGGCAGTGGTAGACATTACCTTCGCCAAAGACAGCWGTGACCAGTCCACGGCGAAAAATACACTGCAAACACAACAGGTAGGGTATTAGAGTCTGACCATCAGTGAGASACGCATATTTTATCAGTTCCCATAACGATATGATTTTTCTATCTCTATACAGCAGCAACAGGACACATCATCGATTTCGGCCGCGGTACAGGATATGGTGGGGCCAATGGTACACATTGCAGCCACCGTAGCAGCTGTCCAGGATGTTGAGAGTAGGTTATTGGAAGACTTTGAGTGGAAGCTCAGCGAGGTGCACCGGCAGTGGAAACGCCGCCTGTCAGAGCACGAACGTAAGTTGGCCGACGAGATGGCCAAGCGACAGCGTGAGCTGAACGATGCCATGGACCAGCGGGCATTGGAGCTAGCAGAAGAAGCTATGAAACGTGAACAGAAGATGGCTGAGGAGATGGTGGAACACGAGCGGCATCTTAAGAGCGTATTGACAAAACGGGAACGAGATATTGAGGATCGGGCTGCGGCGGAGATAGCCGAACGCAAACGAGAGTTTGAGACGATGGCCAAGACTGAAGTGGACGCACGGAAACAAACGATTATGGCTGAGGCAGAGGCTAAGGTGGCCAAGCGAGAGAAGGAACTTAAGGCTGAGGCGGAGGAGGCGATAGCGGTAGCAAAACGGGAGCGCCGACTGGCTGCGGTGGAGGCTTCAAAGCGTGAAAGGGACGCTGTGGCGGTGGCGTTGGCGGAGGCCGCGAAGCGAGAACAACAGTTATTGGCGGACGCGGACAAACGGGAGCGAGACCTCATTGCTGAGGCCGATCGTCGACAATGGGATATGGTCGAAAAAGAGGTGGCCAAGGCGGCCAAACGTGAACGCGAACTGCGGGCAGAATGGGCGGCTCGGGAACGTCAACTGATCGCGGAGTCTGAGGAACGTGAACAGCGCGCGGTGGAAGCAGCTGAAAGGCAGGTGCGCAGGCAATGGCGGCAATGGGAGCGGGACGCGTTGGCCGAAAACAGAAAATTGCTAGAGGAACAACAGGAACGAGCCGAACGTGAGTTAACCACAGCTCGTACTGCGTGGGAACGGGACAGAACTGACCGAATCGCCGCCCTGGAAACAAGAGTATGTATAATTATATGATTGTTAATATATTCAGTATGTCACGCAAACCACATGATTGATAGCCTAAATGTTATAAGTTATAACAGTAAAAATACTATGGTTGAGATAATTTCATTTTTTTCTTTTCTTTATAATTTATTAATTTACCCACATTTTTTTAAGAAAGCAAAAATAAATTATAGGTATTGGAGAAATAATGATATGCATTATTCAGTATGTTTTCATGAGAATCGAAATTTTTCAATACAATTTAACCTATTTAACGTTTTCGTGCGAATTTCTGGAAAACTTTTGAAATTTCAATGAATTTGTACTGAATTACATTAAAACCCTAAAAATCGATATTAAAGAAGTATTATTTATAATGAAATGAAAAACATTAAAAATGTTATTGCTTAAACAAAATTTTAAAGTTGTTTATTTCCTTATTATGTTAATAATTATGGAAATATGTATTAAATTTTAACCGCTTAGATATTCAAATCGTATGATTATAAGTAGTTTTTGAATTAAACGTTAAAATATTAAATAAATATAATTTTAATATTAACGTTGCTGAATTTTATTTTAATATGTTCTGCTTCTGACTACAATGTTGATAGCTGTGGTTAAAAAAATGTCTCATATATTATCTTAATTGTTATTAATACAATGGTTCTGAAATTAGTTTGAAAAACTAACAAAAAATATTTAACCAAATTCTGTACTTAAAAATTTAATAGCACAGAATCAGGTAGATTATTTTATAAAAAAAGAAAAATTATATTTTAAAATAATTTGTGTAAAAYGTATTGTTTTTTTGTTTTGATTAATGTATTGATTTATCATTGTTTAAAACATGTGGTTAAAAATTATGTGATTTACCATTTTTAAAAGTATACATTGTAAATTAATTATACCTTCATTTACCTTTYATTCATAACATTAAATTAATTTCGTTACTAATTGATAATTYCATTACTAAAAACTGAAATGGTTTAAAAACGAGTATTTTGTTTCAACAATTATTATTCAATAGTAACGAAAATTTAACTTTTTTACTTATTTATTAGTTATTAAATCGTTAATATCGGCTTTAGTGTTTGTTTACATATTTAGGTTTCATATGTTTCATTGTTTACTCGTACTTACTCGTAAAACTGAAATGAGAATTTAAAAACTTATTTTTTTTTTTTTGAAAGTAACGATGTATTACCTACTAATGACATGATATACCTCTGCTAGATATATATACACTTATGCAGAATCGAAAAAAAAATAAAATATGATCTGTAATAATGTATTACTCATTGGCTTATTGCTCTATAATTATCGTGTTAAATACTTATTTATCGTCTGAAAATGTTTACTAAAAATGTTGATAACAAATACCTATTAATTAAAATAATAGCATATATTTTGTATAGTAATAGCACGGTTGAACATTTTTACTTGTTYGATATTCAAAATCCAAACCACGTTTGGGCCTTCGATAACACTTAAATGATACGCCAATCGGGCATTAAAATTGTAAAAAAGTATACCTTTTGTTTAGAAGTACTCGTAGGTACACTATATTATATAGAACATAATATGAATATTATACCATAAAAAGATACAAATAATATATTTTTTTAAACATATTCAAAAACATAAAAAATGTGTTCCGTTAAATTTGTTCAGTATTTAATTAATAAAATCATAATATAAAATATTCTGAAAATTAAATAATTGTTTAGAAATTACAGATGGMTTTTCAATGTTGTTTTCGATACTTTATTGCAGTCTAATATAATAAATTATAATTTAAGCAAGTCAAATTTCACAGCTASGCAATTTCGATTTGCATATTTTATAAAGTTTGCACGTGACATCAGCATGGCATGCTGTTACCTACAGTTTTTCAATTTGAATTATTTTTCATAATATATGATTGCAAGCTTAAATATTTATATACAACTTGTGTAAAAAAATTTTATACWTAACGTATATAATTATTGCTTGAAATGCCCTGCCCTTGCTTAAACGTGTTACGACATCAGAAAAAAAATAGTGCCAAAACGTATCACGATTTTGTGCCCAWACGTATCAAGTTTTGAGATAAAAATATAAAATATGCAAACGTTAAGAGTACGTAACAGAATTTTAGTGGTATTTGTTGTCTCTGTCTTACCGTAGCGTAATATAGCAAATTTACGCTCAGCAGAACATTTGTAGCTCCTTTAGTTTAAAAATTAAAGTGAATGGACCWATTATGAACCTTTATGRTAAAAACATTATCTGTGTTTGTACGTTGGTTTTTTACGATAATTCAATTTTTAAGTGAATTATGAGCATTTTTAATGTACTGTATGTTATATGTTCATAACTCACTTACAAATTGAATTATCGTAAAAAACCAACGTACAAACACAGATRATGTTCTTACCATCAAGTTTCATAATAGGCCGATTCACTGTAATTTTTAAACTAAAGGAGCTACATGTGTTCTGCTGAGCGTAAATTTTATATATTACGCACTGGTAAGACGGAGACTACAAATACCACTATTACGTACTCTTAAGAATTTCTCATTTTAACAATAAATATGTAAAGAATTACGGACCYACTAAATGACAATTAATATCTATGGGAAAACCAATATATTTTAATATTATATATTTTCTTAGTTAGTTCATTACATGTTATGATTATCCAATTGGTAATTTCGTTTTTATACAATAATTATCAATTTAAAACACTTACGTATTAATAGTTTACAAAAAACATATATGTACTTATTATTTGACTAGTCCACAAAGGCAATTAAATTTTTGAATGAATCTATTTTTATAATAAATTTAAAAAATACATGCAGTATATTATCAACGATTAATTGAAAATGTCACAAGGTTTTAAAATATTAAAGCGAGCACATTATGCAGTCGAGTCTCGACAGCTCAAATCTCAATGGAAATAATAATTAATTCTACTCCCATATTTTTTTTTAGTGGTATACCTTAAGCACTACTTAAAAATACTTTAAAAATATTCAAGTCATCAAGGTTTTCTAATAATACTATAATTGTAACTTTGAAATGATTTAGACGACTTTGCATGCATCGATCTCTATGTTAGTGTATTGTAGACACAATAAAAAGAAAATTTATAGTTATAATTTCATGAATGACAAAACTTCTTGGAGCTAATTAAGAGGAGAACGCTATACTACTGTATAGTATTGTTGGAAAATCTATGGCATGTGAAACAGTGTTRAAAGCACTAGAAAAAATATTTAATAATAAATAATACGAATATACAAAATATTTTTCATAATTTAATGGCACMCAGAAGAAAACGTAGTAATTTTTGGCACGTAACGTTCAAAAAATTGTTCACCACTTTAATACGTCGAGACAGTGATAAGCTACACGCCCAAGTACTTAAATCTTTAACTATATTTGTTTAACKTTTTATAGACTTAATTTTTTCGTTTTTTTCTTACTGTATTTTACCAAATCATCTATAATATATATATAGATATAATATAGATTCTATATTATAATAAACAAAATCTTCCGAACCCTGAAAAAGATATTTTCCAGTTTGTAATATTGATATATGTACTTCCCAAGCATTATCCACGTAAACTAATTGTATAAATGATTCATATCATAATGTAATTGTCATTTTGTAGTGGACTCAGCGCATGCAGGATGCTGTTCAAGCTGAACGGGCTAGGGGAGAGGCGGCAGCGGAAGAGTTGCGACGTACTAGTCAAGATGAACAGAAGCGAATTGTGGCCGCTGCAACAGCGGAAGCTGCTGCCGAAGCTTGTCGAAAAGCTCGGGCTGAAGCAGACGCTGAGTTGGTCAAACTGCGGCGAGCTGTAGACACGACAGCGCTGTGGTACGAGGACTTACTAGACGCGGCCCGAGCTGAACGGGACCGATGTATAGGTGAGTAAACGTTGGTCAAATAATAAGGCAATAATCGTCAGTGACCACTATAATGATGTCTATTATACGTAAAATCTACGTTTAACGTATTTGTAATAGAAAGGGCCGAAGAAGCAGAACGTAAACAGTTGGAAGCGGAACAGAATCTGTCGGAAGCGGAAAATAAATTATCAAATGCTGAAAATGCCAAAACAAAAGCGGAGAAGAARCTGGCAGAAATGTCCAGCTGGCTAACAGACATGGAAATTAATTTGGCTTCAGCAAAAAGCGATCTCGCCAATTTGGATAATCTATTGGTACAATCAGTAAATCGGCAGGCAGAAACTGAGAGCAAGCTGAACGTGGCGGAACAAAAAGTGATCGAAATGGAAAAAAAGTTGGCTTCCTGTATGGCAGTGCAATCATCTAATAACTACCGCGATGAGAACGATGAAGATAGTGAGAATGAAGACGATGATAACCAGGAAGACGAGGACGGTGACGTCGAAAGTACAGCCACTGGTTGTTGTGTGGCCACCGACGAGGATGACATAAATGGAGAGACTGAGCTTAAGAGCTGCTGCGTCCGTGCTGTCAAGTAAGCTTACTTACTTTCATACTATAATTATTTATTATACTAAAATCATGTTGTACAAGTGGTTTGGTCCTAATATATGAATTTTTTTTCTTATTTCTCTTTGCTCTTAGTTCCCAACTAAATGAGATTAGTAACCCTTGTCCTACTACTTCATAGGACTCAACTCCCTATCACTTATTTACTCATACCAATTATTTTAGTGTCATTCTTTATTCCGTTAATCTATTTCTTTTTCAATCTTATTTTCTCTCTTTTTCCTTTTACACRAATTACCACACCTATACTCACTACTTACGGCTTCGGAGTCACCTCTCCTCACATCAATCCATCCTTATTTTTGCGAATATTAGTACCAATTATGTACATTTTTTTATTTAATTTATAATATTGTTCAATATATCCACAACGAACTGCTATAAATGCACAAGTCAATTTTATAAACTCATTATCTTTGTAACGAATATAATGTGTCACTGAGAATATCTCAAACACTTTTTAATTATAGCTATAATTTAGTTAACTAAAATTATAGGAATATAAAACTGACTTCTGTAAGTTCATGGTGATTGATCATAATTCATAAGCCTCCTAAGTCTCGACTAAAAATATTTATATTTTGTTCATGGCACTAAAGCGTCCAATGAAAATAAAATAATTTTAAAACTTACCTCAAAACACAAATATGAATTCGTCTAGTCAAGAAGAAACAATAGGTTTAGAAAAACTTACAATTATTTACGTTTAAAACATAACAGGTTATTMGTTTATTCAGATCATAAATAATATGATTTTATTTGGAATTTTTTGTTAAAATCGTAGCTACTTAATTTTCATGATAGTTAACTGAATAAGAACGCATACAACATATACAAGAAACAATTTGGAAACTATGGGTTGGTCATAAAAATTAAATTAACATTTAATACTCGTATAATATCAATCTAGAGTAGTGGTTCCCTTAAAAAGTGTTCGCGATACCCCTGCACCACGRTGCTCAGTTTGCGCTGTTCTAGAGTATACGAGAGGGGCCTTTWTGTAATAAAACTAAAAATTCTAATTACTTTCTAGTTGGCTGGCTATATAGCTTGTACATAATCAACTATTTTGCCATTATACTAAATATTAATTAATAATAGAAATACTGTATAGAGTATTAAATATTTTATTCAATAGGAGGCGCGTAGCACAACTGATTGTGTCACATGGTCAGCGGATGGAAGAACAGCGTGAACGGCATGCGCGACAGATGCGTCGACAGTTGGAATTGTTGATGGACCAACGTCAACAGCAGCAAMGAAATAACCATCAACAGAAAAAGCACGAACAACACCACCAGCAGCAGCGGAATGATTTAGACGAACATCATCAGCAAGAAGTGCATCAACAACAGCAGCAAAAAGAGCAGCAACAGAGTCAGGATGAGCAGAACGAGCAATGGCAACTCCAGCAGCGAAGACGTCGACCCCGCGGGGGTGGGGTTGGTGGAGCAGAAAGATTAGAAGTAGGCAGTGATCGCAGACCACAACCGCATTTGCCACCACCTCCGTGCAGTGGTGTTAGCGGAAGCAGCAATAGCAGTCGGAGTAGCAGGCGCCGGAACAAGCACCGGCAACAGCAACAGCAACAGAACCCAAACGCAAACCCGAATGCTCGGGGACCTCCACCACCACCCAGACCGTCCGGGAGACCTACCACATGACAAACAGTGAACACCATTGAATGTTTATTGTTTGCATTCATATGATAATTGTTTCTATTGCGTGGCGTGTACTTACTTTGTTTATAATTATTTATTTACGGCTGTATTTATTTTTATTTATTTATTTATTTGGGTCTTTTTTTATGATGCACGTATTTAAAAAAAATACTCATTTTATATTACTACTATTCATTATATTGATATAATATTATAATATTATGTTACATTATATAATGTACCGTGGTCGTTGTCGAAGGCGTAAATCGGCCACAAACATCCTTTAGAGACGACGAGTTTCTCAACCCTCACCCTTTACACCCTTTATCACCTTCCCTTTTCATAATAAAGAACTTAACGCACATCAAATAAGATATATTGTTTGCACGTGATTTGTTTTGGTCTATGTAACACCCTTTGTTTTATTTATATAACTAAACCTATATATGTACACTAAATACCCTAAATTCATGGTCATATTATTGAAGATAACGTTTCACATGATTAATAATAAGGTAGCTGAAAAGTGATAACAGTGACAATGCACTTGAGCTGTTACTCATCAGGTGTGTGAGTAATTATTTTAAATTCTTACTAGCAATGATGAAACAAAAAAATAACACCTTGGAGTGTCTAATAAAAAAAGTACCTATATATGATGAAATAATTACTTTTTTAAATTAGTCTAATGTATTGAACTAAATAAAAAAATAATATGATTTTAATCATCGCGAAAATACATTTTCGTTACATTTTATAATTATGTATTAAACATTAGTGAGTTATATATATAAATTAATAATAATTTTACAAGTATAAATTTYCGTGTCTGATTACATGAAAAATATTAAACGATATTTTTGAATTTACTTTTTAAATTATCTATAATCACAAAGAGTATAATCAACAAAAATTGTTAAATAATAATAAACAAACGTGCACTGCCGTCTAAAAAGACATTTCCAAAGTTTTAATTTTGTAATTGCTGTGTTATATAATTATTAAGCCGTAATGATCAAAAGTATAAGTTCTTCTTAAAAGCTCACGATTAAAAATTTAAAAATTATATATACACCAAACAGTGAATCATCAACAACATTTTTTTTGATCCAAACACACTTGTACGCGCACAACAAATGGAAGCACTGTAGTAGTTTATTTGAAAAAAAAAATGCGAAATTTGAATTAATAGTAATTCGTTCCATTAGGTAGTTTAGTAAGAATGGTGGCGTTCTCATATCCAAACAAGAATACAATTTTTGAAGAATTTCTTTAAGATCTTAAATCGACATTTTTATAACAAGACTGATCAGATTTTGACGGTTGGTCAACCGTAGATTAAACTACAACGTAAATTTATAATGGTACCTATAGTATAATAAATAATAATGTGCTAAGTATGTATTTTGTTTTCTCGAGTGTTTGTTTAATAACACGCAAACGAGAGTCTCAATGTTAAGGCACTGTGTGTAATGACTTGCGATTTTCCGTAGAGTTAATGTAAATAAGTTTATTAATGAGAGTAAAAMTATTTTCAGAACTTACTAGCTATTTATTTATTTATTTATAAGTATGTAAAATTTACTACTTAAATTTAAAGCCTGATAAATACAATAAATAACGTTTTTAATGACCCATATGAGGTATTCAATTATTTAAACATAATTTTGTTAGACGCACACACATTTTAGGTATTAGTTAGTAAATATTTCAAAAACAATTTTAAATAAGTAGAAATAGTTTTATGTAATTTATGTGATGTATAGTTGGATTGCAGCATATTATCCATTGCCTATGTCATTTACAAATAAATTAAAGTAAATGATAAAATATTTCATGAAAACTTTACTTATATAGGTACCTGCCTACATAAAATAAATTTATTTTATATTTTTTTAACGTCTTAATAGTAAGGTAGACCATGCATGAATAATGAATATGCATCTTAAGTATTTGTTCCATTGAAACATGGAAATACAAAAAAATCATCTGCTATGATGTAATATTCATATAGTCATTTATTCACGGAAAAAGCATGCATGTAATATGTATAATGCACAGTTATACAGCTTATGCTATCACAACTTCTTTAAACATGAAGGTATTAGCTAATCAGTAAAACCACGAATTAATTCATCCTAATACGTGAGTAAAACCCAATGATGTGCGTACAGTTCACAATAGACAATTATTAATTTGACAGTTAGCCACACGAATTGGCAATGTTGAATTGGCAGTGTTATATTATATGTGTCCAAAAACAAATAATAACAATATTTAACGAATGACGGGGTAACCGTGGTTTGAATACCGCGATACAACTACACTTTATTTTATAGCTTAATTTAAGATATAAGATGATGTCAGCGGACTTGCGCACTATTTATTTTTTCTCTCTGACCCACATGCGACATGGAATATATCAATATACGAGTTCAACAGAACCAACCTYGTGTTGTTAGCTTTATAGTGTTACAGTTAATTGACGTATTATCAAGCTTAAAGTACTCAGACACTCAGAGTATTGTCCGAGTTTAAACGTTGATTTGTCTAATGCAATTTTAGTTTTAATTTGAGCATTTTTAAACGTTGAACATTTTACATACTTAAAACTTTTATATCCGTAAATAAGTTAACTTACAGAAACAAATAATGTTATTAATGTTTGAGTCATCGTGACTTTAATTAATATAAAGGTAATATGTAAACATTTATAATAGTAAAATACATAACATTATCAAATAGATTCGAAAATACAAGCCTGGGCATAAACGCGTTAAAAAGTTAAAAGTTAAGTTAATTTTAACTTTTAACTTAACTTTTAAAAATTTAATTTYCATAAACTTAATTTTTAACTTAACTTATTTTAATTGATATAAACTTAATAAATAACAAGTTACTTTTAATCAAATTCAAGTTAAGTTAATTTATAAATAATTAAATAATAAATATAATGAAGTATAAAGTTGGCAATATTCTCTAACAGTTTTAGACTTTTAGTTTCCTGAAAAAGTATTCAGAGTACATTCTTAAATACCATGTTATTTTTATTTAATAATTAAAAAAAAAATGTATAATACTTGTCTGTATTAGTGTAGTATTAATAAATCAAAAGATTGTATTTGTTTCGGCAATATACCTCGTAGTTTATTATTATTTATCATGCAATTTAGGTACTCTTTATTGATCTTTAAAAGCTTAAACAAATTGAAAAAATTATAAAATTTGAATCAATTACGTCATAATCTTCAATTATTTTTCACCTATAAACCTAACATTAGACCTAGATAATTTTTAATTGCAGTCATCTACTCATTGACAACCTATACTCACACATACTAAATATCAAATCTAATTCCCCTTTTGCCTTTAATTTTTATTAAATGGAATCAAATAATGGTTGTACAATATTAACGATGATAAGAGCTTTTAACCAGATATGGATTTAAATTTCAGATTAATTTTTTCTAATTTTATCTACGATCCACAAATAAAACTTGTTTGTACGATAATAAATAGTGTTCCAACAAGACGACTTGAGCATATTTTTAAACTAACATAATGGAATTTAGATATTTAGAATGGGGTTTATTTCGTTTTTTACTCCTTAGGTACTTCTGTTTATATGTCTTCCAGATTGCCTATACTGAACCCCTTCCAAATTATTATTGTTGCTTTATATAAATCTAAATATTATCTAAGTATTCTAAGTGATTAATTGCTTAGAATTGTAGTACCAGAGATTAAGTAATTGGATTTAAAATGTCTAAGCTCGAAAACATTAAAATAAATTATTGTGGGTGTGAATATGGGATGGAAGTATTTAAATTATGCTTAATAACATAAACAATAGAATTCTGATTGGAGTTCAAATATTTGAAATGAAAATTTGTTACTTTTAATCACTTTACTCAGGACCCAAATTATATTARACAAACAAGATTAATTACGAAAACTTCCCGTATTAAAGCTTTCAGTTTATTCAACACAAGCCGCACTAGTGTACAATCAAAGTATTGCAATGTAGTTGTCATGAATATTTTTATGATGTTATAGTATATTCAACTTGTTTAATTTTGTTTATGTAAGAATTTATGTAAATTATAAAAACCCAATTTTTGGTATATCGAAGATCGCATTGATTCGTAAGCGTGTACACTTATGTCATATTGTACAMTACCCACTATTATACCCGAGGGTAGGTACACGCGGATATCAGAACAACCGAGCTTAAGATTTTTGAAAATATTATATATAACATATACATATGTAATTAAAATATTACTATCATACTACCGCACTATCTGTGCCTAAAAAACCGGATGCCTACGCGGCTGTCGATATCATCATATATAATATATATTACATTATTACTAAACGTATAAATGTTATATTAAGACAACATTAAAGAAATCCTATTGGTATTTCTGGAAAAAAACCAACWAAAAAAAAATCGAAAAAGTTCTTAAGATATACATATCAGTATTTGTGCGTGTATGTGTTTACTGTTTATATTATGTTACACAGTTTGAATAATTTAAAAATTAACATAAGCAGTAGTGACTATGGCCATGGCGGTGGTATTGACACGACCTACATATAGATAAGCCGCTGTTGTCGTAATAGTAAGTACCTATCTTCGAAGTCGTTTCGTTCGTTCTTGTTGCGTCGTCGGCATGGCCATCGTATAATATACTCATAATCACCCAGTCATACGTAATATTGTATTTGTTCAACCRCAGGATCGAGGCGACCAAGCAGTGTGGTGTATTATAAATCGTTCGAGCAATTTTCTTCTCACAGCCCCACTAATAAAAGACCACGRTGATGGTTTACCGTGTTTTCATTTGAATTTGTAGTGTTCAATATTTCAACGGTCTTATTACAAGAATATTTGCAAACATTGTGTAGTATGGTTATATAACTGTAAGCTAAATATTAATTACTGGGCATTGTAAAAATGATAATATTTTTTAAATGCCGGTAAGACTATATTCTTCTCAGAACTCTGTGTGAATTGAATCAAATTACTTTTAGACATGCATCGCTCATTGGACTATTATATAATATGCAATATATTATTGTGGTAATTTTCAAGTTGTGGTGGTTAATGACATGATCATTATTATATACGTGTAACACGAAAA